CTATACTAAAATCTCCGGATACGTGTGGACTAAATGTCAAAACTTTTTGGGATGCGTTTCTTTCCCTTGTTGGCGTTTACAACGGAAATTTCCACAAAAGTTAATTTTTGCGATCTCTGTGGATTTAAAATCGGCATCAGTTGAGAGTCAGTATTTGTTACAATAGGCTAAAAAAATAAACATTCTTAACTTAATGAAAATAATTCTGGAACAAACTTGTTGCGCCTTTATCTTCAATGTAAAAACAACACCTAACATTATGCCATCCTGAGAAAATATATTTTGGGGACCTTTCAGGGTACATTTCTCGCTTTTCGCTCGACTTGAAATTAAGGTCTCGCCGATTATATGCGAATACATATATACAACTCGTTACTTTATGATTTCGTTTCATTGTTCAACAAGATAGGTGTTAATGAAAGCAATTCTCGAAAATAAAGGATTTCTTCTGAGAATACTTGTTTCCATTGCCGGCGGCGTAAAGTTTCCTTTTAACATTCACAAACAAGTAGGCCAACCGATATTGTTTACTTTTTTGTGGCAAGGGCTGTGGACAACAAAAATAGAAAAACAAACTAAACGAATTGTTGTTCAGAAAGCTATTTCCTCTTAAAATTTTAGCCAGGAAACGCATACACAAGAAAAAAAACTATTTGTCCTCGACAGTTTGAACCGGAGCTATATGCAGTGCGAACTTTAAGTTGTGACACGTTGACATGAAAAGGTAAAGCGGTGTTGTAGCATTGATACACGCACCTGTTTGGTCTCAATTTTCTTCCGTAAGGCGATGTGAAATTTCTCGTTTTCTGTTTCATGTTAGATGAACTGCCCGAAAAAGCTTTCAAAAATTGTTGTCTGTGAATTGTATCAAGTGAGCGCAGACAAAGTACTCATGAAAGTTTTAAACTGCGCGGCTTTCGGCATTGTTTTTTTTTTTTTTTTTTTTTTTTTTTTTTGGCGAATTCACGTGACGGAATGCTCTCACCGACAATTTGCTTATTTAATTTCTTTCGTCATTGACGATTATTTCAGAGAGTTTTCTTCAGTTATGATCCAGGCCATTCTGAACTTGACAGTATCGTTTGTGTTGAGCCAAATACTCTTGTCAGTGTGTTCTGGTTTTACGATGCTATTTCGTGGAGAAGTTTGTGCGATGTTGCCGCACAAAAACTGATAAAATATGATAAAGAAAAAAAAGACTGTCTAAACTACGAAAGACATTCCTTTATCGTTTTCCTTTATCTTAGTCTTCAAATTGACAAGCTCCATGTTGTTGAACACGGATTTTTAAACCTGTACTGTCAAGGGGGCTGTCAAGAATTATTTATTTGACATTTCCAGAAATTGTCCGTCAGATATTCAGAACATAATTTTCTCTTGTTCAGAGAAATCTCTTCCAAATATCTTATTTAAAAATTTGACCTACAAACATTTCGGCGGAAAAAACTTTTCCACGACACTTGTCAAAAATGTTCGTACTTCAAATAAAAACTTCGCTGAATAGCTGTACATAATCAATTTCCGTCCTACTTACCGCTTTCATTAGGCTATCTTTAAAATAAGGAATGGGGAATGAGAAATCTTTAAAATGAGGAATCTTTAAAAGCGGGAATCTTTAAAATGAGGAATCTTTAAAAGCGGGAATCTTTGAAATGGTTAATCTTTAAAGCGGGAATCTCTTAAAACGTGGAATTTTTAAAAGTGGGAATCTTTAAAACGGGGAATCTTTAAAAAGCGGGAATCTTTAAAACGGGGAATCCTCAAAAGCGGGAATCTTTAAAACGGGGATTCCTTAAAAGCGGGAATCTTTAAAACGGCGAATCTTTAAAAGCGGGAATCTTTAAAACGGGGAATCTTTAAAAGCGGAAATCTTTAAAACGAGGAATCTTTAAAAGCGGGAATCTCTAAAATGAGGAATCTTTAAAAGCGGGAATCGTTACAAGCGGGAATCTTTAAAATGAGGAATGATTAAAAGTGAGAATTTTTAAAACGAGGAATCTTTAGGAGCGTGAAATGAAATCGGCCAAATGAATGTGTGGTCTATGGAAAAGTTGATCGTTTTTTCAATTTTAAGCAAGGGAACCCATCAAACTTCATGACTGGTGACACAAGTAAAACTAAGCTCTAATGGAAGGGCACTCAGCACATGTTTTCAACACTCAACATGACCAAATAACTAAAATAATTCTAGCGTCAGAACCTTTATTTTGATCAATAAGTTTCGTTGCGGCAATTCCTTATCTAATAAAAAAGCGTAGTGAACGACTCAATTTTTCGGTGTCTGTTTAAAGCGTGAAATATTAAACTTTGTCTAGACAAAATGTCGCACTTCTTCACTTACAGTCATGGGAAATCCGTTATGTGAAACACCAACTTTAATTTGAAAGCGTGAGAAATGAAGGCAATACAAACGACATTGAAAATAAATCTTTATTTAAGGTAGAATGTACAGGCAGAAACATAAACACCGTAATGTGACAGTGTGAACACAAACTGGCATGTTTCACGCTCGAACAAATACGTAGAAAGCTAAATACTGTAAACAAGAATACTCGTAGCACGCTTCATATTTCGAAACTTTATACTCGTTTACGTCTTCAGAAAGGTTTTAAAACATTTCTTAGCTGCTTTTTTGTCTGACATGAAATGTTCATCATAACAGGACAGCGACTTTTACTTCAGTTGGACGATCAATAAGCAAAATATTTTCTATGAACATTCTAGTTCTTTGTTGAAAAATTGCCAGAAAGTATGTTAAAAGTTCAGGCTGCCCCAAGCAGCCGGCTGTTATTTGAGGATAATACCGAAAAACGATGTCGATCAGAGTATTCAATCATAATGGCTTATAGAGCTGATGGCTGACTTACCATTCAGCCGGCTAATAAAAAAAAGAGTTATAATTGAGTGCCAATGGATATTCCTTTTGAAAGACTCCCGCTTTTAAAGATTCCTGCTTTAAAAGATTCCCTGTTTTAAAGATTCCCGCTTTTAAAGATTCCCCGTTTTAAAAATTCCCGCTTTTAAAGATTCCCGCTTTTAAAGAATCTCCATTTTAAAGATTCCACGTTTTAAAGATTCCTGCTTTTAAAGATTCCCGCTTTTAAAGATTCCCGCCTTTAAAGATTCTCCATTTTAAAGATTCCCGCTTTTAAAGATTCTCCATGCATTTTAAAGATTCCCGCTTTTAAAGATTTCACGTTTCTTTGTCCACCTTCTAACTCGCCGGGAGCATAGAGATATCTCACGTTTTTTGAATAGTCAAGTCTCTTTTCTTTGAAGCCAACAGGTCTTGAATAAGAAGTTGAACTCATTGCGTCAACCGGCTTTTCTTTGATTGCGCCAATTGGTTTCTTTCCAGTCAATCTTGTCACCTCACGATTTAATGATGAAACAACTTCTGGAAGCCTCTTCACCCATTCTGTTGATCTCGTTCTGTCTTTGAAGTTCATCTCTTGGCCGTATTGGAAACTAAAAAGGCGCTCACCCAAAGTTCGATTAAATCCCTCAACTATCCCTTGATCTCTATGAACGTTTACGTTTCCTCTTCTAATTCTCACATCATGCTTTGCCATCTCTTTAGTTGTTTCACCCATGAATTCACGTCCAGGATCAACCTGAAGAATTTTTGGCCATCTCAATGGTCCTCTNCGGCACGTGGAGACAGCGTAACCGGCTTCTTGACTGAAAGGTATTTTGTTTTTCTTGTCAGCGTGTATCATTCACCAATCCTTATCCTACCAAGAAGACGTTTCATCTGAAAACTAACAGGCCAGACATGCTACAGTTCAAAGAGAGCATCATTGAGGTAAACGTACGACGAGTGTTGGTGCATAGTGTTCCTTACCACCTTGAGGTAGGGGAAAGCACTGGTTACACGCTGTCAAATGCTATTTTGCTGTTTATTTATTAGCGAGAGGGAAGGAAGTTGTCCGCCATCTCACAAAATTGACAAGGAGGAAGGGGGGAGGGGGGAGGTTGGTGTAATTATTTTACTATTTTCTTACTGAATCATTTACTTTGTATTACCAATCTTGCCATACCTTCTGTGCTTGAATCTGCTAGGTTGGTACCGGAGAATCACACAGTATTGGGCTTCGCTTCACTCCTCAACAGTTCCCGGGAAAATCTGAAATTCTCATCTTCATCAACGACTCGGAAGACAAAAATGAAGAAACTTTTAGCATCAACGCCGTCTATACGTAACACTCTGCATGTGCGAGGTATGGTTTGTTTCAATTCACTCAGTGTTCATGCTTGTTCCTTTCCGTGGCGTTTTTGTTATGAAAAAGTTAGGCTTTAGGGTGACATAATTCTACGGGTTTTGGTTTTCATTCATCTTCATATCGTCCACCGGCTCTGTGTTCTTCAGAAATACCAGCGGCTAGCGTTTTCGCCGGCTACTTTCAACAGGCAAAGCAGTAAGATGCTTTTGTTGACCTCAAATAACTTTTAAACTGTGCCGGTTTTTTTTTTTTTTTTAAGACTGGCTGCTAAGAAAGCTTTTGAGAACACGCCCTGGTTTCCTTACTTATCAACTGTTTTCTTGCAGGCTCCACAAGAAACCTCTATTTTATTATGAAATGCTAGTATAGAAAGATAGGAGAGACGCGTCAATTTTAGAACTGATAAGATACGTATTTTACTTTGAATTATTTGATCTCGAAAATATTTATTAATAAAGCGAACTTAATTGAAACAGCTTCCCATGTGTTCTTTCTGTCGAATAACCTAAACTCGGAAAGGTAACAATGCTCAAATGATCGGCCTGAAAATGCTGATTAACAAAGTTGCACCTGTTGAGTCGCATGGAGAAATGTGTGAAAAGTGTTAGGAACCTGCCTTGTGTCTCTTCGCTTTTCAAATGCATCAAATTATGCTCAACGAAAATTGTACTCAAAATGTAGACGGAAGAAATAAGATTGGGCTGCGATTCAATATATGGTGGTTGAAGAAAGGGAGCCCCTTGCTCTTGTGATTGCTTCAATCTCACCCACCCCGGT